AAAACAAAACAAAAAAACCAAAAACCCAAAACCTCTCCAAAAGAACAAAGAGATCATCTTTTTCTCTGCTGTAGGTACTTGACTCACTTGCTTAACAGCTGAACAAGAAAAGCCAATGATAGCTCCTTTGGTGCGTCCTGAAGGTAATTTAGAGATGTTATTTGTGTTTCACAGGAAAAGCATGTCAACATGATTCATATCGAATCTAGGAAATCCCGGCGAAGAAGTTCTGAGGTTGAAATTTTCGTGGACTGTGAGTGTGGCAAAACAGAATTCAATGAGCTCATTCAATTGCTGAAATTTCAAACTACAATTGTGACACTGAATCCACCTGAGAACATTTGGACGGAGGAAGAAGGCAAGGGTGATTTCTGCTGGTCGGGAGATTTTGCAATCTGAAAAAGGTTGCAAAGGGGAAAACACAATCTGTGAGCTAATGTTTTTGAACCTGCACTGTGTTTTCAACAGAGCTAGAGGATGTGCCCTGGTTTCCCCGGAAGATCTCTGAGTTAGACAAATGCTCTCACAGAGTTCTCATGTATGGTTCTGAGCTTGATGCCGATCACCCAGTAAGTGTCCAGTAAAATCCATTCCACACATGCCCTTCCAGCTCTGCCCATGTGCCAGGCGGTGTGCCGTGTTCTGTGCTGTAATGCGTTATTGTAGAACAACTTTTTCTTTACTCCCCATAACGGAGAGCAGGCTTTTATACGATGAAGCTTCCCTGTACACATGTGTTGGCTGGAAGCAGGTTAGAAGGATGGCATTTTCACATAGTATTTATTTTTAAAAGGATTGGATAGAGGAGAAGATTCTAAACCTTGGAGAATATTTCTGTGGAATTAGACAACCTGAAATATACTTGCAGATGGTGACCCTTGGCAAAACGATGAACTAAAATTGATCACACCTTTGGGAAACTAGGGAGGACTAGGCATTATGGGACTCAGGGAGAGAATAAAATTCTTCTTGCTATTTTCCTTGACTGGAGGTAGTTAGGAGTAGAGTAATGTGGTTGACTTCAGTCTCCATGGAAAGGCAGGAAGTTTTAGAATAAGGCTGTGATGGAAGACGTATCTCTTTCCACATCTATCCTGAATCTATCTCCTACCATTCTCTCCTCTACTCCAATAAAAACGACCACCTTCAAAGAAATATGATACTTCGGTAAGCATTTCCCATTATTCTCCTCCTCCCCCCTTTACATCAATTTTTATTTAACACAAGAGACCTAGAACTTCTTTATGGTCAGAATGAAGTACAGTTAATAGTCTGGGAGAAATAAGCAATCGTCCATTCGTTACAAGCTTTTTTTTCCTCCAGAGGTGTCCCTTGCGTAAAAATGGGCAGATTAAAAAGGTGAAATCTAAGCAGATCAATCATTGCTTATAGAAAGCCTTTGTGGCCTGAAGATAATAGTTTACAGATATTCATTTTGTTTATTTTAAAAACTTGCTATAGGGCACAAGCACTGAGAGAGAGAGCAAGAGAGAGAGCGAGAGAGAGAAAGCACTCCCAGAGAGGGTGAAGAGACCACAGTCCCTTCTCTTCCATTCTCCTCTCAGGATTTTGGGCACACATGCACATGCACCTGGCCTATTTTTTAAGCTGCCGGGTTCAGGACTCTAACTGCACAGTTGGCCATGTGGGATCCAGCTATTTTAACCACCATGCTGCGTGGCTGATCCAAGATATTCATCCTATTTATCTATTAATATTATTATTTAAAAAATATTGTTTAAACATTATTTATTTATTTATTTAAATTTGACCAGAGAGGGACAGAGTGAGAGGGGTGGGGAGAGTGAGAAAGCAAGCTGCCAGGTTCAGGATTTGAACCATGGTCGGCCATGTGGGAGTCCAGTGCCCTTAACCACCATGCTGCCCCCAATATTTATCCTATTTAAATGGAGAAAATCCGGGAATCCAATAGTGTGACTATATCTATGCAGTGGCTCTCTAAGAGTGGTACCAGAACCAGCTGCATTGCCGTCACCCGGCAGCTTTTTAAAAACAAGTTCATACGTAAGTTAGAGAACCACTGTTTCAGTGGAAACTGTATATTAGGTCATTAGAAAAGTTGTGACATGTTTTTCTATGCAAAAATGTGTCATGACTTTTCCGACCACTCAATATTATAACTTCAACACTAGTGGCATTTTCTATCAAACCAGCCACTTGGCATGACATACCAATTCAAACCAATACAAACACACCATTTAAACAAGTGGTGAAACAGGTCTGATTCAATTACATTGTTCTTACAAAACTAAATTCACTCAAAGACACAGGATATTTCGTTGTAATTCACATATAAGGCTCCTGAACGTTAGAAAATCTTCAAAATTGCTGTTAATAATCATCTATTTGTTTTCTTCCCCTTCTCTAGAGGAGTTAGAATTAGCACAAACACCTGATTTAAGAGTTCAGCAGTACCAGGACTGTACAGACACCAGCTGTTAACCTGCAGAATGACCTTGGCCAAGTCCCTCTACCTTTGTATCTCACATTCTTTATGTAAAAAGCAGAAATAAAATCCTTATTGACCTCAAAGGGGTGTTTGAAAAGCCCAGTTAATAAAACAACTGGAAGGCATTTTGGCAAGAGTAAATGCTTAATTCCAGTAATGGAAATGCTGTGTTAAATCATTCAGATCAATGTCTGGACAGTAAAGGATTTTTCAATAGCCTCCTATTTTCAAATGCTCCCCTTAGTCTAGTTTGAAAATTACTCAACCTGGAGAAAGGAGTTCAGCCTTTTTAATGGAACAACCACAGGAACCACTGACCTTGCTATGAAAAAATTTATTCTGATACTAGGTGTAAATTTTCCTGTGTTTAATTTTATCCCATTACTCTTAATTACACCACCTTATGATACCTCCTCTTATTTTCTGTGAAGCCACTTGAAGTAATTGCAAGTACTTAGCAATCCCCTACCTCTCTTGTCATTTTTTTTTAAACCACACACATTTTTTCTATAAGCACACCAAATGTTCATTATGCAAAATTTGGTATTAGTAAGTTGGTGTTTTGTAAGTTATTATTTGATGAGGATGGAAAAAAAATGGACTAAGGACTTTTTACGCCTGGGAATAATTTCAGTCCTGAGATAGACACAGAGACACACTATCTAATAGGTAGTTCAGAAGGGGCTTGGAATATGAGAGTCAGATTGCTCAGCTCCCTAAAAAGGGTCATCTAGGTTAATGCCTCTCAAACATTAGTGGACAAATTACCTGGGAGGAAAAATGCAAACAGGTTTATAGGGCTTAAGATTCTGTATTTCTAGGGAGCTCTTAGTTGAGGCTTATACAGGACAATCTAGGGACCACACTTCCAAGACCTAGGAAGACTGAGAGAGTCTTTCAAAGTGTGGTTTAAGTTCCACCCATAAGGGGCTTGTTATTGCAATATCTTAAGCTCATTTAAAGCCTACTGAATCAGAACGGTCAGGGATGAACCTGAGAATCTGCATTTAAAAGGATCTGTAGAAAATTCTGATGAGCTCTTGAGTTTGAGAACTAACGTCTTTGAGGACTGAGAGCCTTAGTCATTCTCAGCCCTAACTTTCCATTGACATCTATGGGTAATTAAAACTATTTATTGTTTATCTAAAATTCAAATTTAACTGGGCATCCTGTACTTGATGTGGTAACCCTAGCCCTGGCCTGAGTTCAGAATAATGGCCGAGGAATGCTGTGTCTATAACTGCTAATACAGTGAGCACCCCTGTTTCACTCTGCCAGTAGTCCATGGTTCAATCCAGGAAGCTCTGAGTCGCCCACAACATTTGTGTAATCACTGCCATGCTAATGAGGCGTGATGAGTAAATTACTCTTTGCATCACTGGAAAAGGTGCAGGTGTTTGCAGAGGAGAGGCCGTTAAGATTCTTCGAGAAGCCCAGCAGATGATGATGCTGTTGCCATGGTGTCCTGCCTGGCAGGAACCAAGACACAGATGCTGTGCTTTTTGCAGGACTCTTTTCTTTCTTTCTTTCTTTCTTTCTTTCTTTCTTTTTTTTTGAACACTACAGGTGCTTAGAATTCTTCAGTTTTACATTGCCAAGGATCTTGCTTTTACTAGTGGGTGTTGAAATAGTCACTTTCAAGCATTGCCATATCTCCCCTGTACAACAGGAAATTCTTTTTAGCTCATAGACCCATTCGTGAATTTGGTAACTTTGGTCACAAAATTTTGGGTAGACATTTTAGGGCTTCACAAGCCTACCAATGAGCCACAGATTAAAAACTGCCAATTCATTGCACAAAAAAGAAAGTGTAAGCTCTGAGCAGAGGATACTTCATTTCTATAGGGTATTATGTGGTCTCAGGACATTTTTCTCTCTCTCTGCTTGCCATTAATAACTCTCTTGTCATTCCTGAAACTCAGTGTCATTGTTGGCAATGGAGTGTCTTCATTTCTATCTAGTAGACAGTCCTGTAAAGATTTTTGTCCTCAAGGTTCATTCTCTTTCAGCCAGACAAGAGAATGGGGTGACTTTCTAATGAGTTTGAGGATTCTCTTGAACAGCACACCATGCAGAAATATCATAGTTGCAACAGAAGTGGTCTAGGCTTTTGTGGGCCCCCTCCCTGGCCTTTTACTCTCACGCTTTGTGATTTCAGTGACTTGTGTTCTTGTCTGGCCTCCATTTTTAGTGGTCACCACTTTCTGGTCATCCTTCAGGGTTTCAGGGATTGTAGAGGTAAGGAGTTAAATTGAAGCAATTTCTCTTGGGCTTCCAGAAACTTGAAGAAACAATCCTGGAAAGAATTGATTGAAAGTACCCAAAGGAAAGAATGGAAAGTCTGTTGACAAGAGGAAAGATTCTTGGATAAACAAAGACCTCTCAGAAGGATTTCATCGGCCTGAAAAATAATAGACATGATATTTAATTTCCCAAGTGGAGAATGATGAATGAAAACTTGATGTTGGCTAAGACTAATTAGAATGATAGGAACTCAGAGTGGAACGGAGTTAACCTGCTAACCTGTGCATGAATGTCTTATAATCAATTTTGCATTGTGTGGCTGTAGTCATAAAATACAGCAAAACCTCTTTAATTCATACTAATTTGGGGGTTTGATGATTATTCTGAATGATAGCATTTAAAATAAATATTACATTTATTAGTTATTTACACATAGCAATTAAAATTAGGTTACCTTACTGAATAATTATGTTAAAGGGGCTTGTTTTAATGAATAGAGTAAGATTAAGTTATGATTAAGATCAATTACATGTAAATGATACCTGAAAGCCAAAAGATATTGTTCAAATCATCCATTTGCTTAACTAAGCCAGTCTGTCTACTTAGTAGAAAGGTAAACGTTAGCCTGCATTCCCACATATTCCAAATTTGTACAGGCCAGATTTAAAGAGGTTTTACTGTAAGCACAATTCGCTTCTGCCTGTGTCATCAAGATGGCCATCCCAGGATAAGATTCACCTTTGAATTGAACACTCAATAAACACCACAGCGATTTTCTTTTAGGCCTTTTGCAGCTAATTTTTCCACACTTTATTAAACAGTTTAATCTCTTTTCTGTTTAAGGGATTTAAGGACAATGTCTATCGACAGAGAAGAAAGTATTTCGTGGATGTGGCCATGGGTTATAAATAGTAAGTACTGGTGTAATTCTTTCTTGTCACCGGCTAGTTAGGAAAAACACATGCTGTGTTAAACAGACCTGTCTTCTCTTGATATTAACTTTTGCAACAGGCAGATGTGAACCATTTTAAACAATCACCAACTCAGTAGGCTTTAAATGCCAACACTGATGTTTGACATCTGGGTATAATTGTAAAATAATGAGACCTGCAGGCCTCATGCCAAGTGCTACATTTACGCTATTGTGTTCTCATCTCCATTAAGGCAAGGAGCCCTTTCTATACACTCTTCAGGGCCCAGAAATGCTGTTTTAATTTGACCTGACTTTTCCATAATCTCCTTTAATGTCCGGTTCTCCCAGACATAGATGATTCAGCAAGAATGAGCAGCCAAAATAGAAAAGAAATGTGTTTTCTTTACCCAGAAAGGAAGCTTCATATAAATTGGAGGGATTATAGAAAAGTTTCATACCTAATTCCAGATCACAGTTGGGATGAAAGTGGAGAACCTTATCTTTTGGGGTCAGGACTGCATGTCATGACAAGTGGCTGTCACAGGATGTGTTTGTGACAGGCCTATGTAGTATGTTGACTACAGGCCATGTCTAGAGAAATGGAGGATGGTAGGTCTCTGTTTATCCTATTTGTACTAGAGGATTTGGGGGCCAATATGGGACCCCTTTCCTTTGTCTGATCAACTCCTCAATGCTTGTCATCAAAATTAAATGTAAATCCATACCTGGTAATGCCTGGTAGGGGAAATATTCTTTTTTACTTTAGTTGAGACTAAGTAAGGAGCTCAACTTAATGTATTGGGAGGATTTGTTGCTGATGAGAATTGAGGATATTATGCATGTTATAGAGATTAGCAGTATAGTTTTGTTGTTTTTTTTTTTCTTTAAGGAATATGATACATAAATGCTTAACGCAAAGTAAGAGGATTCTTCATCCCACCTCTCATTTGTCCAATCATTTGCTCATCCTTAAATTTCTTTGATACTTCGGAGCTCTTCCCTTTTTCCTCCCAAGCTCCAGGCTTCCTCTATTCTTTTTCTGCCATGTTACCTTTTTGTTTTGTTTCTGCCATAGGATGCATGTGCTTTCTGGAGAGAGACAGAGAGACAGAGGCAGAGATAGAGAACGAGGAAGAGAGAAATCACCCACCAGAAGGGATGGCCACATTGCAATCCCTTCTCCTCCATTCTCCTCTCAGGATTTTGGGAATGCATGCACCTGTGCCTGGTAGGACTCTCAAACCACTTGGCCTGGACTCAAACTATGGTCAGCCACGTGGGATTCTAGCACCTTAACAACCATGCTACCTCTTGGTCTCTCTCTGCCATGCTATGACAACCACGTTTTTGAAAACCAGGACTAGTTGGGACATGCTTTACCACACATCTCTCTTTTACTCTTATATTACCTGTCCCACACAGCTTTCCCTCTCTATACTGTGACTTTCTACTTTCCAACACTGTCAACATACATACACCTTGCTGTGCCCAAGCCCCACTTCGTGCCCACCTCTCACTAGTCACATATCCCAGTGTTTCCCAGTCAAATTGCCCAGAGAAGACCCTGTAGGCCTGAACTCACTTTTTCACATCAGGCCCCAATAGATGGTTTTTAGCCTTATGGTATGTTCCTTCTGGTTCACAGGCCCTCCCTGTGGAATCAGGTCATGTCTGAGTAGATGGATCTTACATGAGTGTACACAGGGCAGCCTTTTGGGCCATGGGATATGGAAAAAGTCCAGTGCCTGGCAGAGCCTTCCCTTAGGTATAATCAATACATAAAAATACATTTTATAGGTAGATACCATATGGAATATATTACATATACATATATGAAGTGGCAAATGATTTTTGACGGGATTTGTTGGCATAATGAGTAAGGAATTTCCTCAAATATTACTTGTTACTTCTTGACAGAGTTCAGTAATTGGACAAAGGCAAGCTGATGGTGTGGCGATACCGATAGACTTGCTTTATAGGAGTCGGCCACTTTCAAGGAACGTTGACAATGGAGAGTCATTTGGTTCTAAAGAAACTTTATTTAGATGCAGGTTGTGCCACTGCTCGGGAGGCCAGACACTACCGGGAACCACCTCGACACTCTGGGAATGGTGGTGTGTGCCTGGGCGGTTGGGGCAGGCGGTCTGACAGGAAGCTCTGTCCAAAACAAAACAAAGCAGTATCTATCTTTGTCTCTCTCCTTTCTCTCTTTTCTTCTGTCTCCTTCTCTTTCTACATCTCTGTGTTGAGAGAGAGAGAGAGAGAGAGAGAGAGAGAGAGAGAACATATTTATTTGGAGAAAAAAGGAAAGGAGTACATTGTCAAAATAAATGAGGGTGAGGCCTCAAAGTGTTAATAAGAGTTTGTATTTGCCACTTTGCCATAGTTAAAAACTGAAATTAAGGTGTGGTGTCTACATGAAAAAAAAAAAAGAAAAGAAAGAAAGAAAAAAGAAACCATAGGTTGGAACTTGTGCAGGATCTACATGGAGTATTAGGTGGAGCTGGGGTATTCCAGGATGTGGTCCCTCTTTTAAGGGCTGGGGAGTACTGAGGCTCAAGGGACTTAGCTCTTGGTAGGTGAGTGTTCAAGAGATTAAAGTAGGCAGGAAACTGCCAAGTCATCATTTTGCAGAGAGAAACAACTCACATAGGACTCACGAAACCATCCCTGTTGTCCTGATAGCAGAGGAAGCCAGATTATAACCTGAAGGCTATTGGGTTGAAATGGAGTCAAAGCAAAGGGCGCTTACCTAAGAGGTTCAGATCCAGGCATTTTATAACTGTCATCCCTGGGGAGTGATGAATACTGGCTGGGCAGGATGATAAAATGCTTAAAAGCTGGGGCCCTGGATTTGACAATCTGGGTTTGAGTGCTATCTCTACTGCTTCCTAGCTGAGTGGTTAACCTCCTTGTGCCTTCGTGTCTTCATCGAGGAAGTATAACGGCAGGGCCCATCGCAGAGGGCAGTAGTGAGGATTATAGGGGAGAATGCATATGTTGTGCCTCCCACAGTGTCCGACACAGAACCAGTGATGGAAGTGTCAGTTATTATCAATACATCTCCCCACCTTTCCCACAGGCCGTCATTCACTTCCAGTTGACCTATTGCTTTCTTCTTTTTTTTCTGTCTTTTGAGTTTATTAATTAGCTATGGTAATACCATTGTTTATGGTGCCATCTTAACCAAAAATGTAGTTTAAATCCTAGAAATAATCCTCAGAAGAAACTTGGCCACTGAAAGACTTAGACCTACTGATGCGCTCTTCCTGATTGACATCTCTTTTTAGAGAGACTTTATAAAAAGCAACCATAATCTCTTATTATTGTGTGTGTGTGTGTGTGTGTGTGTGTGTGTGTGTATGTGATGCTGCCAAAATACTGACAAGAGATCACAGTTCTCTGGGCTGTTTCTTGCGAATGGATGGAGTGAGCACAGTGCCAGAACAGAGTTGTTAAATCAGGAAAAGAAGCAGCAGGACTTGTGGAAAGTAGGAATAAGCAAAGGATCTTTCCTTAACCCCCCGGTGCTGTCATTGTGAGGTTTCTCTGAGTATGAGTCTGAGGTTGATGGAGTTGGATAAAGGGTAGCCTGATGTGCATGTGTATGCGTGTGCACGTGCGTGCAACGTGCACATATGCATGGGCACATATGTGCTTACAAGCTCACTTTTTGGCTCCTGTGCCTGCTATGTGCTGGTGGGATGGGGCACAGATACTAACAAATCCCAAATAGACCGTGGGCATTATCTCCAGCTTGCCACTCAGCAATGAAGGTTTCCTTTCAGTTTACAGAAAATAAGGATGCAATTTTTTTCTTCTATCCCCTTTAAAAAGAAATTATTATTATTTTTTTTTTGAGGGAGAGAGACAGAGACACACAGAGACAGAGCGCCTCAATGGGGTCTTCATGTGTGGCCTCATCTAGCTGGGGTCACCAGCTCGACCGTGGGACTTTCCTGGGTGGCCCTGGCATTGTGGAGCAGAGCTGCTCCCACTGAACTGCCATGATTGACCTAAAGATGCAATTTCAAACTGAAATAAGTACTTTTCCAGTGCTGCTGGCTTTTCGAATGTGCCAAGGAAGAAGATGTCAAAATGATAGGTACCTTGGCAGGACCAGCAGTTAGCGTAATGGCTATGTCGCTGGACTCCCATGCAGTCGACCGCGGTTCGAGTCCCAGACCCGGTGACTTAAACTCAGACTGGGCACGTGTGCGTGCATGCCCAAGATCCTGAGAGGAGAATGGAGGAGAAGGGATTGAGGTGTAGCCATCCCCCCTGGAGGGGTGATTTCCTGCTTTCTGTCTCTATGTCTCTGTCTGTCTGGCTGGAGGAGAAGGGATTGAGGTGTAGCCATCCCCCCTGGAGGGGTGATTTCCTGCTTTCTGTCTCTATGTCTCTGTCTGTCTGGCGAGTGCACGTGCCCTATAGCAAAAAAACAAAACAAAACAAAAACAAACAAACAAAAACTCTCCAAAAAAGAAAAAAAGAAAAAAAAAAAAAGGTAGGTCCTTGGGGCTGGCTGGGGGGAAGGGGGGTAATTGGGGCTGGCTGGTGGGATGGTGGTTAAGATGCTGGACTCCCACATGGCTATGGTTCAAGTCCCAAACCAGCCATCTTGTTTCTCACTTGACCTTTCTCTTTCTCTGATCAAATTAAAAATATAACAGTAACAAATAAAATAAAATAAATAAATAGTTGTTTGAAAAACAACAACGAAAGTAGGTACCTAGAATAAGCTCATTTAGGTGTATTTTGACCTGGTTTTCCAAACCAAAGCTTGGGACCCCTGGTCTGAGGAAAGTCAGCATATGAGGTTTCTGCAATTATAGCTTGTTGATAAAGTTAGTGACCATTCTAACAAGGGGAGAACAATCCAATTCTGTACTGCAAACTATTGATTAGTTAAAGCCTTCTGGACACTGAGGAGAAGTCAAATATATGGTCAGAAATACAGAAGAAGATGGAGCCCAGATATTTTGAGGTTGTAGCAGG